AATGGGTACAAAGACAGATAAACTCTGTTCCCGTTACAGAGCAATGTATTCAGTCAAGGGACAAATAAGTATAAAAATAACAGCCAAAACATATGGAAAGCACTGAAGCCCAAAACACCAGTCACTAAAGTCAAAGGCAACCCCCCAAGGACCTACAAAGCCTCGCTATGATGTAATTTCATTAACTTCTCACTAAAGGAGCTACGTAAAAGGTAACTTACAGCTCAGTCACGTCTTTGGGAATTCCTTTGGGCAACATCCGCAGCCCTTTGTTGCTGCAACGTACCACCAAGTCCACACAGGTGCACTGGGAAGGACAAGGAGGTGTAAGCAAACAGCTGCTTTCATCATTACCTGCAGAGGGAGAGAAACGGAGTATTAGGAAGTCAGCTTTACAGCCCAAAGCCGTGCACTTTTAAGAGAATTGCTTACAAGGACCAAGGAGGGACATCCCTGAATCCATGGTAACCATCATACCAGTTTAAAGTAGATCCAATTCTTTGGATGAACCTGCCTTCACACAGGTTCTTTAAGCAACATGAACATCAGTTCAAAAACTGAATAGCAATATTTTTAAATAAATATTTTTTCCTAAAGAGTATCTTCTTCTTTGTAATTTTGCAAATTACAGTAAAATTAGTGATGTGAATCCCAAATCTTCCTTCCACTCCCAATGTATTAGCTGAAATGGAGAACTTGACCAGAACATTGCCCTTAAATTCGTCTAGACAGATGATATTCACTACCTACATGGCTTTAGGAAGATGTGTTTTTTTTTTTTAAATTCAGCTTTTAGATGTTAATTTTTTACTTTTTAAAGTCAGCCTGGCACTTCATTTATCATCTGAATTGTAAAACCTCATTGTTTTTGACATGGATAACCAGGCAAACAACAAACTGAGCAGCATAGTTCCAACTGCTGGTGATCCATCTGTGCACACATAAAGATATCTACTTTCTCCAAAAATGGTTTCAAAGGTCCATAAACAGCAGATTAAATCTTGTAATTTGAGAACAATAGGGTTTCTGCAGAAGAAACCAACTCTTTGAAGTTAAGAACATTAAAGCATGGATTTTCCCCAAAAGCAACAGGCTTTGCAAAACATAAGGCAAACGCATGCTACAGTATCATGATCTATATGAAAGGAAACACTTGGTGGCACATTCTGTATATGACAGTGAGAGGAACCACACAACTGTTGGTGAGCACAGACAGCCTGAGTTGACCAGCATGGAGAGACAGTGCTGCAATCCGAGAGCGCACAGCCAGCTGTCATTATGTGCTGCTTTTTTTCATTATATTTTTTTTAAACTGATGCAAAGACTAATTGAGACAGATCTGTTTCTTTTTTCTCTCTGCTGGATGTACCCGAGAGCATTGAGATTAAAGAATAAGACTGGAAGTACTGATACAAGATAACAAAATTACTCATAAACGTATGGGCAGGGAATCATTTGTATTCAGAGGGATGGAGAAGCACAGCCAGCCTACAGAAGAACAGGGAAGATTTTTCTTTTTCTTTTTCTCCCCAGCTGAGCTTAATGACCTTATTAACCGGAAACAAAATTCAAAGTCTCATAAACCTGCAGAAAGAGCATGTTTCTTCAGCATACTCAATTTTCCCCTATGTTTTGTGTTTTACACCCTGCCACCATCTACCTTTCATACACCACGGCTGTCTGAGTGACTGTATGATAGAGAAAGCTCCCAGGTGTGGAATGTCATTTTGTGGACCAGGATTTATTTTCTTTTTCTCCCAAAACTAAATGTGAATTATTCTTTAATGACTAAACTTGAATCCCTTGAGCTCTGAGCCCAAGCCCCTGGGCCCTGCCAGATTGCTCGACTAGGACAGGAATTAATTTCTGCTCTAAGTAGGAAACTTCTATCACTTTTACAGTCTCTTTAGACTAACTGCAGCTACAGCATATCAGGCAATCACAGCCTACAAGCCAAGATAGCAGGGCACTCATCAGTCAGTTTTCCTCTGTATTATTTTCTCTAAAATCTGTTTGATCAGAAGACAAAGAACTACCTGAAGAATAAAAGAAATGTCAGGATATTTTTTTTTTTTTAAGCTTATATGGACCCGGCCAAGCATTAAGCATTACTGAGTCATCTCAAATAATATCTAAGTTTTTTCATTTCCCTGTATTTCATACCCATTATTAGTGAAACTGAACAGTATCCAAAACTAAAAGACTTTCCAAGCAAGCACCATTCCCACTGGCTTCAGAGTGTTAACTAAGTGCATGAATAAGGAAGCGGGAGGAAGGGCCGGGATTATACTAGGATTATACAAACCAGAGCATTTGTCTGTAATAAATTCATTCTTATATTTAGGTGTAGACAGTAGAAATTCAGAAATTGGAAATCGAGAATAACAATAAACTCCTTAGCCCTAGATGGCTGTCTTCCTCATCACTAAACTGAAACATTTACCATGCAGTGTTACTTGACAGGAAGGGAGGTCCTCACAGAGATGCGAACATTATCATAAATGCCAAATCAAATTGGATTTTCTTACCATCGCAGGTGAAATCCTGGACATCTACGTCTTGGATTGGAATATCCTTTAAAAAAAAGGGTTTCAAGCAGCGTGGATTTCCACTGACAATTCTCTTCTTCCTCAACCATTTTCCCAGCCAGGCCAAATGGCAGTTACAATTAAAGGAGTTAGCCAGCAAATTACTGAAACGGAACAAGACATTACATGAACATACAGAAATACTGAAATAACTACAGAGAGATGATGGGTTCCAAGTCCAAGCTCTTTTCTGTGAGATCCTCCTCTGTTCTACAGATCAGGGAAGTTCTATGCAGGTTTTATACTAGAACTAGAGTTGTAATTAAAATATATATATTTGCATATGTGTATATATATGTTTACAAACTAAAGTACGTACTGCTACAAGTATTATTTAGACATACTTACATCACTACCAGGGTTGTATTTATAGTGGATTTCAGCCCAAGCTACGGCTCACACCCAAGTCTTAACTCGCCTCACACACTGCACCCACGTATGTATGATCTTCAATGTCGTTACTTCAGGTAAGGCCATGGAGAAGTTTAGCACTGCTAGCCCTCACGCAGACCTACACGTGCCACTCCCTGTGCGTACGGCCAAGCTGGCTTAGCGCGCTGCTCCTTGCCCCAGTACACTCATGCTTTCCACTCGCCTGTGTCATGGCCCATACAAACCAGTGCCAGGTGGGAGCCACTGGCAACCTGAATTTGGGTTTCCTACTGAAACAGTAAGGATAGCACTCTCCACGTACATATATAAAGTGGCACTGTCAGCTTGAGCCACTTCTTACGATGCTTTGTAAGGTCAGCATATCTGTACTGAAAAGCATCTGCTCGACTGCCTTGTGAACTTTGTGAGGTCTGCGTCAAATCTTACTACAGCTCCCGAAATACCTTTCAAATAAAGTTGCAGCCTAGCTGCGGTACTGGGGTGTGCAGTACGCAAAGCAACCATTTGACAGCCCTTGTGAGAGGGACGGATTCTTAACATGGCTTGGGTTAGCAGCGTTTAAAAGAGGAAAGCCCTATCCATTCTGTTGTCAAGCCATGAAAACATAGACATATAGCAATTTCTCGGTTGACCACCTGTAACATAGATAGTCAGTATAGAAAAGATATTATTCATTTCTATTTCTGAATAGGCTGTGATCCTTTGAATGAACGGAGTGTAAGGCGACTGTTATTTGAAGCAACCATCTTTCTAAGCTAACTAAAATTAGTGTTGAGAATCTCGGAAAAAACTTTTTTCTGGAGTCCTGTACTGAATCGCCTATCCATAATTTGTGTATAAGCTTTTCTATGACTAAACTTCAGATGAAGGAGAGGCTGATATCCCTGGTGAAAAAAGAAGGCTGACTATCTTATGGACAAAGACAGGGAGAATCAATAGTCTGAGGTTGCCTCATCGAAGAAAAATGAGCTGTCAGAGCTCCACGTATGGGAAACAAAGTATTTAAACTAACACTGATGGAATTCTCACATCATATGTGAATGTGTCTGAGAGTTATTATTTTGGCAGTACAGAAAAAGAATGATAATGAAATTTCTCTAAAGCATAGCATATCTTAAAGATGAAAAATCTAAGGCCTTAAAAAGACACACAGTTCAAATGCAGGTGTACTAGCTGAAGACCTTGTAAGTCTTCACTTGCAACATACTTTTACAAACCTAAACATGTCGTCAAAATCACATTAGGTTTTCAGCCAGGCAATTCCTTCAGAAAACAATAGCGCTGAAGACAAAAACATATGGCACAGCTGAGGTGTGGCAGCAAGAAAACAAACCCAAACCAATTCCTAAATTATATAGGTTCTAGGCCAACATCGCATACCCACAATATGATTTACAGCTGCTCTCTGCATTGTAAAAAAGCAAACTTCAATCACCACATTAGCCTGGAGCTCCGGGTGTGTAGATCGAGCACAGATTATTGTACATTGTGTAGAGGGAGAACTGGGAGGGGGAGAAAACTCAGCATAACATGCAATAATAAAAACACTCAACCTACTCATGCTGACCAGGATTCAAAGGCAAGGCTAACTTGCTGTATAAAGGTGAGAAATGAACAGGTTACATAGGAGCTTTCAGACAGAATGTGCAGAAAAGCACTGAAAGCATTACTCTAATTCTAGTTACTTTCCTTCTGAATTGCTTTCCGTTTTCTTTAATCCATAATGGGACCACATGCAGGATGCCTCGTGTATTTTCCATACTGACATACTTTGGCATGAACACAGTGTTTAAACCAAATGTTTAAACCTCCAACACTAAGTGAACCAATGCTTCAAAGGCCATTTGTTCCACTGATGGAAGAGAGTGAGATCATATTCGCAGAACAACTTCCGTGACACAAATCCTTAGAATGAAATAATCCACAATGGGAAACAAACAGCAGGTGTATATAATCAGGTTTCTGGAAAATCAGCAGCTCTGAATGTAAAGACCATTTTGCACATCTAGAGAGCATCTTACCAGGACATACAAAAAACTTGCAGAAACATTCAAATGTTCAATCTACAAAATGCTGCCATGAAAATAGTAATTATCCATTTCTACAGATAGAGGTTGCTTTGACTTAATGTGCTACTGCTCAATAGCTGAGCAGCAGTAACTATCCACAAACCCTCATCTTCTTCTTGGCAAACACAGGCTAACATAAGAGCTACAATATAATAAATCCTTGGATTACAATTCGGATGATGGCCTTCTTAGGAACTAAGAAAGAAATTAGTTGTTACATACAAAATTAACAAATAAATAAACAAATCTACTGTTTTGAAATTCAAATAATTCTGGGTAAAAAAGGATAAATTTATCTTTTCATGCATTACCCTACGTCCTCCTACCACTTTAGCAACACCTAAATTTTGTCCTTTGTCCAACTGCAGAGCAGTTTGCTTTTTGCTCTAATGTAATACGAAGCTCATACATGTCCCTACATGCATGCTCTTTCCAGGGCAAGACTGTGATGTAACTTTTGGAAAAAATGTAAGATCAAGGCTCTCTCTAAAGTATCACATGGGACAAGAGATTTCTTACTTCACTTGAAAAGCAATTGAAAGTCTGGAAAGGCCAATTATTTGCAAAAGCTTTATTTTGGAATCCAGCTATTCAGGTAGAATTCTCAAATCACAAATGGTAATGTTGGGCAGATAAATTGTTATAAAATTCATAATTAGTAATCACAGTTCCTACGTGTAAGATAGTGATTTAACCACTCAAAAAGAAATGAAGCAATGAAGCTTTTAGCAAAGATGTAATACTAACATTAAATTCAGAAGTGTTTACTCAAGGATATAGACCTATTTTTAAAATCAAGGGGGAATAGAAGTCTTAAGGAATTAAATATTCATATCCTACTACAAGTGACTCTTAAAAATTGCAAAGAAGCCGTAGAATATTAACTATTTAAATGGATTCTAGTGACCTGTTAAAAAACCATGCTGAAACGCATGTGGATATTGTTGAAATTAGGTTGAAAATATATCCTGGAATTCAGGTTAAGTTTATACTAGAATAGTTGCGTGTCATTCTGATGAACCAGTTATCATTCTGGCATTAGCCCCATGCTATCATAATAGTAATACTGCTTCCAAATATGCCCACTTGACTGTGTAAGGACTGACAGAACTCTGTGTATGCAGAAGTGCAAGCACACTTCAAATTAGGATGCTACAGCACCTAGTTTGACCAGTAAAAAATAAAAAACTGCTATCTTTTTTACCAATAACTTACAAAATAGATGTTCTTCCTCTATTGAAAACCATTCATCAGGGCATTATCTTCAGAGCTGTCCGTGTTTTGATAATATCAATGAGGCTGACTCACAAAGAGTAATAACAAAAGGAGCAATATTTTTTAGTGCTGTAGATATGCCAAGCTAAAAATGGAAACGTTAAACTTTGTATGAATTTCTGGCTCACATTAACACATGCAAAAATAAGTCATTACAATACCCGATTAAATCACAAAGCGTGGGTTGAACAGGAAAAGCAGTCATACTATCTATCTTCAGTAGTGTTGTCATCTAATTAATCCACCTCCAATGAAGTACTGCTAGGAAATGAACACATCTGAATTTTGCATTTACACGTGAAATATCACTATGGCTTTAAACCAATGTCTAAATAAGTCAAAAGCACACCTTCTCCTGTCTATAGATCAAGCACAGAGTGAAAATGTGTCAAAGAACAAACTTTTTCATCAAGACACAGCTAGGAACCAACATGATTATAAGTCAGTGCCAAAGCAATGCATTTTAATTAAAATGCATTTTAATTAAATGTTGCTAGAAATCCTAATAATCTTTATCCAGAGCTGAAAAAAGAAGAAAATGAGCTATCTTCTAACAAAACATAACGAAGATGCTTCTATGCAAACCAGGCAGGGACTTTATAGACCGATTCAGAGTCACAGCTATTAAGGGATCCTCAGAAGGAAGCACAGAGACAATTGCGCGAGAAGCTGACAGGCACGGCTCGCAGCACAGCCGGAACAAGCTTTCAGCAAGTACCACTCGCGTTGACCAGTGACTTGAAAACAGACAATAAAAATAATCTGGTTGTGTTTCTCTCTTTGTCCATCAATTTCAAGGAGGCTTTTGGGACTACAAAAAGTAAATGGAAGACAAGCCTGGGTTCTTTAGGCTGCATGGACCTAATGCCAAAATGCTAACTGACTTGCTGGTGAGAAGTTATAACAAAAAATGAAAGCGTGAGCGACAAAACAAGCTGAGATTCAACACTTCTTTCTTCCCCCAAACATGATGGAGAATGCTTTCAAAACCTGAAGTGAAATAGCACCAATAGTTTATTTTGACTGGAGAATTAGGATGTATTTTGAGGGGAGTGTGAAGGGAATTAAGCAGACAAGTTCCATTAACAGCAACATCAGGGTCCCCATTCACAGCTGGAAACAAAGAGCAGACTTTCTTTCCATATTTATCAGTCTGTACTTTATGAAAATGGACACACTACAAAAAGCATGTAAACATATTTAAGAAGCAAGGGAACTACTTCAAAGAAAGATCGAGAAATATAAGAATTATCAGAAAAAACTTAGGTTGGGATTTTCAAATTCACATTCAGTAGGACTTGAGTATTTTTTCCTCAGGCACTTCTGGAAAATCTAAGCATTAGCTAGTAGATTTCTTCTGATACTTAACTAATTTAACTGAAATCCAAGAAAGCTGTTCTTACAAAATTAGACTCTACTGAAACTAAAGCAGCTTCAGGGAGCTAAAGCTTATGATAAGCTATGCACTTCTGCATCTGCAGAGATTGTTTTACATGAATTTCTACTGTGCACTGCACTAGGCTATGACACGGCAAAACACAGTCATCCTGCCTGAGGCTGGCAACCTCCAAGTTTTTTCAGCCACTCCAGCTGAAGCAATTCAAATGTTTTTCTAAACCGCACCTTGAATCCTCCAAACCTGTGAT